TGTGTCTTGTGGGGAGAGTCGATGAGAGGGGCTGCAGGGCTGGCGGGGAAGGCCAGGCCGGGGCCTGCACCCCTGGGCCCCGCTGGCCAGCTGTGCGCCCCTGAGCAGGCCCTGCGTCCGTCTGCGCCCCTCTCCCCCTCTGCAAAGGGAGCGGTTTACCCGGCAGGCCTCCAGGCCCCCTGGGCTCCTCAGGGCACCCAGTGTGTTGTGAGCTGTTTCCCCCGGGCCTCATCCTCGGTGGGGAAATGGACTCCGGAGTCTCTGTCAGCTGCACTGTGCTGGCGGAGGGATGGCTCCAGCCATGGTGCTGGGTTTTGGTCCCGGGGCCTGCAGTGGTGAGGACATTGACGTGGGGACATAATCCCGGACCACCCAGTGGCCCAACGTCATCACGGGTCCTCAAAGTCCTAGGACCTCTCCCGCTGTGACCAGAGACACCCCAAGTCTGCCCCTCCCACAGCCCCGTCGCCGGGCAGACCCAGGCCTCCTATAAGGGGATCCCCGAGTCCTCGGAGTTAGAGGGCTGTTGATATTGGCCTCCAAACACTTCCTGTGGAAATGACAGTCAGGCTCAGTGGATAGGGGACCGGCCGGGGACTGAAGGGTGCCAGGTTCGATTCTGGTCAAGGGCACAGGCTCTTCCCAACCCAAGTCAGGGGGTAGGCAACCAATCGATGTGTCTCTCTCACATCAATGTTTCTCTCTCTGTCACTCCCTCTCTCTTCCACTCGCTCTAAAAAAATCAATGGAAAAGTATCCTCTGGTGAGGATTAGGAAAAGAAGAAGGAGGAGGAGGAGGAGGAGGAGGAGGAGGAGGAGGAGGGGGGGGGAGGAGGAGAATGAATACACAGGCAGACCTCAGAGATGCCCGGCTGGGTTCCAGGCCACTGCCCCAGGCAGATATTGCTAGAAAGCGTGTCCGTGTCAGTTTGTCAGTTTCATTCCCATTCCAGTTCCGGAGGACACGGCAGTGGCTCCCCTGCCGATTCTCAAGCCTGCACGTCTGTGGGGATGTGCCTCTTCCTGCGGCTTCTGGGCCCGGGGCCTGGTGAGGTGGGTAGGCTGGCACGTGTAAGGTGGGGTGGCCCCAAAGGAGCACCCGGTGAGCTCCGTGCACATGCCTCGGGCGCTGCTGGCAGCGGCTGCCACTTACCGTCAGGCCCGGGGGGTTGGGGTGGCCCATCGTCCCACGGCCTGGTCCATGGTTAGCATTTCCAGTAATTTCCCATGATCCACCTCAGCGGTGTCTCAGGAGAGTTTGAATGTGTTTTTCCCCAAATGCACACAGGCTCTTAGGCATCTGCACACCCTCCTTTGCAAGGTTTGTGTTCAAACCTCTGGCTCAGTTTCCTGTGAGACCGGCTGTTTTTGAAACGTGTACACGCTCTTGGATATGTTGCATGGTGTTCAAAGAACTGCTTTTCCTCAGAAGACACCAGAGCGTGTCTCTTTCCGTCAGGGTCCAGCCAGGACACACAGATCGTCCCTGGTGTTTCAGGAGAGAGTTTAGAACCAAGAATGACGACGTCCGTGTAAGTGATTCCCACCGGCCTCATGCAGGTGGCAACTGCAGGAAACAGCCACCACGCCAGGCCCCGAGGAAGATGGGCAGGTGGACAGTCCTGAACTCAGGGCCCAGCTGGTTCTGGAGATGGCCCAGCTGGGCAGGGGCTGTGAGTGGTGCCATCTGCTGGCTGCTGCAGGAACAGCCTGGGGGAAATATATGTGTGTGTGTGTGTGTGTGTGTGTGTGTGTGTGTGTGTGTGTGCGCCATCTGCTGGCCACCATGGGAACAGCCTGGGAAACTGCACCTGGATCTGCGGGCTGCTGCAGGAACTTGCCTACTAGGGGAAATGTGGTGGTTGCCATCTACTGGCCACTGAGGGAACTGTCTGGGGGAAATGTAGGAGGCACCACCTACTGGCCAATGAGGGAACTACCTGGTCCAGGTCCCCTCCTCAACCATCAGGGTCCTCCGGGTCCCCCTGTGGGCAGCTGCCCCAGCAGAGCGAGTGCCTGGGTCCAGGCCCCGTCACCCACGGAGAACAAAAGGCCAGAGGGAAAACTGGGTGCGAGAGGCAGCCAGCGGCGGGCTTGCCCTCAGCCTGAGTGATGTTCAGCCCCCAGCACCCCTGACCTGAGCAGGTGCTCCTCTGAGGCCGCCCCACCTCCCACGTGCCACTCCCAGCAGCCCTGCGAGGGGGGACCCTCGCCATGCCCACCTGAGGACAGGAAGCGGGGCAGCAGGGTTTAAGTGACCCGCCCAAGGTCGCACGGCGGGGACACGCCAGATGGAGCAATCAAATTCAGTCCATCCTCACACCCAAAAACAAAGAGGATTTACCGAAAGAAAGCCTTGATGGGTGATGGTAAGCGAGACGGGAACAGGAATAGCGGGCCCGCTGACTTCAGGGAACCTTTGCAGGAATCAATATTTCCTGGTCAGATCAGCTCGTAAAAGCAGGGCCGGGGCCTCGGCAGGTCCTTCTGGGCCATCTCAGCCTTCCCTGCCCTTTCTCAGCTGGTGCTGGGGGACCTCGTGGGGGTGGTACACGCACACGCACACACACACCATGCACGCGTGCACATGCCACAGATTCTGTCGATGCGGTTCTTGGAAACGACACTGCCTGACGTTGCCTTTGCCACCGTGGACAAGGAGAGGCTTCGGGCTGGAGGACGCTGAGCTGAGGGGGAGGGAGCGCGCCTGCCAGGAGCGGGTTAGGCTCTGCATCTTCCATTTATCACGCCCGAGGCGGCGGGCCAAGGCGCTCGTCAGCAAGATTCACGCTTGAGCGGCTCAGAATAATAAGGGCTTCGCCACCCTGAGCTCAGAGGCCTGAGCCTGGCACAGAGCAGCCTGTGGGGCTGACGGGTCCCATGATGCCCCCTGTCCCGGGGACGGGCCTGGCGTAAATTTAAACCTGCACCGTCAGCTGGCGGGACTGGCGCGCGGTGGCGGCTGCCCAAGTGTCTGAGCCAGCGCCGAGCCCCCGCCCCAGGGAACCTGGCGGGGGAGGTGGGACACAGCGCAGGGCACCTGGGCTGGGCTGTCCCCCGGTGGCTCTCCGACTTTTCAGGTCTCCACGCATCACAGGGAGCCGAGCCCTGGGTCTCTGTGCCCCAGGCCCCCGGCCTCCTGGGGCACCAGAGCGGCAGGCATCCCAGCACGGGCATGGCAGGGCTTATGCCCGTGTGTGTGTGTGTGTGTGTGTGTGTGTGTGTGTCATCTCCGCTACTATGGTGAGCTCTTTGGGGGGTAAAGTAAAGTCCAGCCCAGCCAGTGTGGCTCAGTGGTTGAGCACCAGGAGGTCACAGTTCGATCCCCGGTCAAGGGTACAAGCCTGGGTTGCAGGCTCCATCCCCAGTAAGGGGCGTACGGAAGGCAGCCCATCCATGACTCCTTCTCAGTCCGGGATGTTTCCCCCTCTCCCTGCCTCTCCCCGCAATCAATTTAGAAAACGTACAAAGCACACCTACCTCCTTTTCGTTTTCTTACGCATCCAAGTAATGGCTTCTAATTATGTTTACTCATAAATTATGTATAGCGATGACATAGTGGGAGAAGACGAAGCTTTCGGAAGCCGGTGGGGGAGGGAGTCTCAGAATCCAGAGCCAACCGGTCTTGCAGAGCAGCCATCCTGTGCCTTGCTTTCCATCTTGTTCCTCCGGTAATGAACAGAAAGTGACTCTGGCTCCTGTCGGCCAATAAATAATTGATTCGGGAGCTGTCAGAGAACTCTCAAAATCTGGGGCATTGCTGCCTCAGCGCCAGCTGGGAGTGCTGCCGACGGGGCCTCTGGGAGCTGGCTCCCCCTCTCTGTCCCCGGGCGGTGGGGACCGACGGTGGGCCTGCAGGCTGGAGCGCCCGCTCCTGGGCCCCGGAGCCGAGCTCTGGGAGACGGCCCGCGGGTTTCATGCAGGGCCCGCGGGCTGCCCCGTGCCTCCGTGGCCGTGGCGGCCACCAGCCCAGATGGCTGATGTCATGTCGGACCCTGGACCGCGGGAGGGAAGCCTCCAGGGCAGCCGCTGCCCCGCCCTGCTCACCCGTTTAGAGGGAGCGCCTGGGGCCACGCCACCCCTGAACCCCCGACCCCTACGAGGTCTCCCACTCCTCAGAGGGACGTGGCCCCCCTCCTTCTCCAGGAGCTGCCCGCTGGCTGCCCCGGGTGCCCGCTTTGTCAGGGAAACACCTGCTGGCGCCGCGGGCCCTGCTCACCCTCCAGCCAAGGGTGGGGAGTCCATTTCGTCCTCTTTTTTCTCCTCCCTCATGACCCTCAGCACCTGCTGGGACGCGTCTGTTCCTTTCCCTGTCATGCGGGGGGCCAGGGGTGGGTTCACTGCTCTGAGTCTGGATCTTCGTGGGCACGGCCAGATTGTTCTCAGCTCTGGGCCTGGTTTGCAGGCCGTCTCAGCCTCTTTCTGTCCTCGGCTTCCCAGGTAGCTCCTCCACCAACCCCTTACTCAACGCTTTGTCCATCTTTCTGTTCGCCACCAACGGAAAGCCTCCTTACTCACGTTTCTATTAATAACTTCACAGGAGACACTTGAATCCGTTCCCCAGGTTCTACACCGTTCTCCGTCCTCATGATGCAAATAGCAAACTGATGTCATGTGCGGCTAAGGATATATTTTCTAGAATTTGGGGGGCCCAATCCTCTTCCTGCTTTTGGAGCTGTATTTACTGAGACCCTCATTTAACCAATTTCCCTTCTCTCTTCTCATTCCCATCCAGGGTAGCTGGACTGCACGGACCTCGGTGGGTTGCAGACCCTGGACGGATGGAATGGAGGAGGAAGCACATAGCAGGAGGGGGAGGGGAAGGAGGGGGTAGGGACAGACCCACAGATGGCAGCTCGGTGACTGGAGCAGGGCTCCAAAGGGGACAAAAGGCCGCCTGCTTTTCCAGCCCTGGGGCTCTGCTGCCTGGTGCTGCAGCGCGTGCTCTGCCGCCGCCGGCCGCCAGGGGCGCTGTGGCGCACGCACGTGCCCTCCCCGCGGCGGCCGCCAGGGGCGCTGTGGCGCGTGCGCGGCGGCGGCGGCGGCGGGACGCAGGGCGCCGCCCCGTCCCAGCATGCCGCGCGGGTAAACAGACATGGCGGGCGAGGGAGACCCGCAGGACGCTGCGCACGACATGGGCAACCACCTGCCGCTGCTGCCTGGTAACCGCCGGCCCGGGCCGGGGCGGGCGGCGCGGCGCGGGGCTGCAGCGCGTGTCCGGGCCGCGGGCGGGCGCGGGGGCCGCCGGGCGGGGCTCGGGCGGGGGCCGGGGCCGGCGAGGCGGGCGGGGCGCGGGGCGCGGGGCCGGCCGGCCGCCCCCTCCCGGCGCCCTCCCCCGGGGTGACAGCCCGCGTGCCCGGGGCCCACGCCTCCGCCGGGCCGGCCCGGCCGTCACTGCCCGCGGCGGCCTGGCGGCCGGCCCAGCCCCGCGTTCTAATGTGCGAACTCCCGGCCGCCCGCCCGGAGCCTCAGCCCCTCCGGCGTCCGCGCCGCCCCCGCCGTGTCCGGTGGGAGGCGGAGGGCCGTGCAGTGCGGCCACTCCGCCTGGGAGCGAGAAGAGCGGAGGGAAACTGGTGAAATGAGTAAAAACTCAGTAAATGTAACGCCAAGGCGGCGCTCGGCCTCGCCCTATGGGAGTGTGGCTGGGACCCGGGCCACCCAGGGGCGCTCTTGAGTCCTCAGAGGGGCGTCTGGGAGCACGTGCCCAGGTCCGGGCTGTGCAAGCTCAGGCCCGCAGGTGGGGAGGGAGAGGGAGAGGAAGAGGTGGTTGGGTGCCTGCACCTCCTGCCGCTGGGTTGGGGGGGGTGTCTGTGTGTCTGTGCAGGAAACAGTTGTGGTGCAGGCAGTTGCCTAAGGAAAGCTGTGCCTGGAGGGGAGGTTGTGCACCGGGAGTGGCGTGGTTTGGCCGCGGAAGAGGCTAAGGGCATGCACACCGTGCAGGGGGGACCCGCGGTGCACAAACAAACGGGAGGTGAGTCAGAGGGTTCTGGAGCCAGCAGCCGAACTGACCGGAAGCTCAGTGTCAGTGCTCCCCGCCCTCAGCCGTCAGCCCGCTCAGCACCTGCCACCCGGGAGTGCCAGGGAGGACGGCCCCTGCGTGACCCGGGCTCGGACTTCACTCCGCTGGTTCCCAGCAGTTAGGGTTTGTCCAAAAGTCAGAGGGAGAGGCCCAAGAGCTTGTAGATGCGATGATAGTGCTTTTCTGAATCACATAGGAATTTAAAAAATGTATCTTTATTGTGGAAAGTGTAACGGATGTCCCCTTGGCATATGGGAATTATTTGTAAGGAATCATTGGGCTGTCCATACCTCCTGCACTATGAGTTGCTTCAAAGAATAATCCTCTTAAAGTGCCATGGAAATAGCTAACTATTTAAGTGCAAAGAATCTGTCTTGGCCAAGGAAACGCTGGCCGACAAGCAGGACCATCGGGGAAGTGAGGCTCAGCCCCATTTATGGGAAAGGCTGTACCACAGGGTGTCCCCCCAAAATGCATGCCCACCTGGAATAATGATTAGTTCCCTGGTTCTTTCTTTGCAGATTTAACCCATTGGAACGAATAATTACTCAAAGTGTCTATACATTTTGGGGTGGGACACCCTTTTATGTCAGGAAGTCATTTGGGGACTAAAGTCAGAATGGCTGGAATGTGAATTTTAAAACCATGGATTCTAGCCGAGAGCTAACCGCGGACCTGCTCCACCTTCTCTGGTGCTGCTGGAGGGCCTCGCCACGGGCCCACGGAGGCCATGCTGTCAGGACTGTAAAAATAAGGAGTTAGATTCAGAGCATTTTTATCATCAGTTTATCTTTTTCTTCATCTCTTGGTGAAACATCTATGCTCTCAGGAGAAATTGGTACTTATATGACGTGACAGACCACTGGCCGTTAGGGTGTAGGTCTGAAACAGTCACACCTCTTTGCCAAAGCCTTTATTCAGGAGTTCCCAGGGATCCACCGCAAGCCCAAGGCAGTTCCCCTATTGCTGGGGTCGGCAAACCTCGGCTCTCGAGCCACATGCGGCTCTTTGGCCCCTTGAGTGTGGCTCTTCCACAAAATACCACGGCCTGGACGAGTCTGTGTTGAAGAAGTGGCGTTAGAAGAGGTTTAAGTTTAAAAAATGTGGCTCTCCGAAGAAATGTCAGTCGTTGTGCTGTTGATATTTGGCTCTGTGGACGAATGAGTTCGCCGACCGCTGCCCTATTGCAAGGCATGTAGTCAGGGACCTCGCTGGAGGTGGTTTGATTTCAGTAATGACGCTCACAGAGGAAATGACTTTTGAGGATGACGTTTTATCTACTTAGAGGGCTCTTTGGGGCATTTAGAAATATGGAAAACAAGAGTCGAGATGAGATGCACTAAGTCTTTATGGCTTCGCCTGGCTCCGTCATTTGGGCTGGAGGCTTCTCTGTTTGGGGGACTGTCCTGTGGCTTGTTCAGCAGCACCCTGGTCGCTCCACTGAGGGGCACCCCTTTTCCCCCGGCCCCCCCCCCCCGGCCCCAGTGGAGCAGCCCTGGCAGGGGTGGGAGTCGCAGGGGCTGGCCTGAGGAGGACAGACCCCGTTAGAGAGAGGAGCACCTCTTCAGCGCAGCTTTTTCCAATTTTCACACCGATTGTCAGTGACGTCAGGGTGTAAGTAGGTCAGCTTAGCTCTCCTAACTCAGAAGTTACGTGAGGAGAAAGCTTTCAGAGGCATTTCTTTTAAAATGCCTCATGTTGCACGCGAGCTTTAAAATCCGAAGCAGAACGTGTGTGGAGATGCTTGCAGGCACTTCCTTCGCAGACATTTTGAGTGCCGGCCGGGGAGATGAAGTCACCGCCATGGAAGTCCTTCTGCCGGGACTGTGCGGTCATGAGTGGGGGCCCCCGCTTCCTCTTTCCTGTGGGAATCGTTACAGTGAAAGTCTGAAAGAACCTACAGACTGTCTTATTCCTGTTGCTCTTCAGACGAGGAGGTTCGAGTTTGCTCGGCTGTCGCGGGCTGTCCTGCAGAAGGGTCCCGGCAGTGTGTGCGGTGCCCCTTTAGGGAGGGTCCCCGTGCCCCTGCAGGGGGGCTGGGCCAGTGCGTGCCTTCAGCGGGAGGGTCACCGGGGAGGAGCCCCACAGACACGCCCTCGGCTGGTGGTCCGGTCGGCAGCTGCCATGCGGGTCGGTCACAGTGGCAGCCTTTCACCTCGTGGTCTTCCTCCCGGAACTTGCAACCTCAGTCTAGTCCTGAGGACACAGCGAACAAAGTGCCCGAGTCAACTCCAGCCGGAGAGCCCGCAGCAACGAGGCTGGGAGATGTGACTGCAACGTGGCCTCTCGGGTGGGCCCTGGAGCCGGGAGGGACTTGGTACAAACCAGGAAACCCAGCTAAGGGGGCGTGAGCCAGCCGACTCCTCTGGTGCCACGCTAGCTCTGGAGGTGGGCGTGAGGAGGACAGGAGCGCAGCTTTCTGTAACCCTTAAGCTTTCCTAGAACAGGACCGTGGCCCAGAGCGGTAGTAAGAGGGCCAGACCCCGGCCCTGCGGCCTCCTCACCGTCTGCAGGGACCGCCCGGCGGGAGCGGGACCAGAACCTGCCCTCCAGGCTCAGACCGGGGAAGGGCTGTGCCTGCGGGAGGGGCGCAGCTCAGACGGTGTCAGCATCCGTTTGTGCTCACGTGTCTGGTTTCCCCTCACAATGTTCTTTCACAGCAGAGAACGAGGAGGAGGAGGAGGACGAACTGGAGATGGAAGTTGAAGACCAGGATAGCTTAGAGGCCAAAAAGCCAAGTGTCATAAACTTTGACACCAGTCTGCCAACATCGCACACGGTACGTGGCTCCGCGGCGGGTCTGGCGGACGCACGGTTACTGCATGTGGGAGTTCTCAGCTGGGGGCCCGGGCGGAGCCCCGCTGGCTGCTCACACCAGAGGCTGGGGGGCCGTGGGCGGGGCCGCAGGCCGCTCCCTGGGACTTTCCTGCAGTTTCCCGCCGCCTCTTGCTGTCACCCTTAGAAGATTGTCCCCCTTCCTGTGTGTTTCTGCTGGTCTTGGAGCCACTAAGTTCCTTATTCTCTGCACCATGAGGTGCTGGGGCGCTGCTTAGCTTACCGACCTCTGACCCTGTCATTGCGATGTTTGAGCACCGAGATGTTCTGATCTTAGTCAGAATAAAGTCTTTTGAACCAGGAGAATGGTCTGGAAATTCTAAGTGCCAGAACTAGACTTCTCCGGGATTGCTGATGCCCCAAGTTCATTGTTACTTGAGCAAACGTCAGCGCCCCCTGTGTATGCCCCCCTGGCTTGGCTTGAGTCTGTGGCGTGTGCGGTGACGCCCGCTCTGCCCGCAGTACCTGGGGGCCGACATGGAGGAGTTCCACGGCCGGACCGTGCACGACGACGACAGCTGCCAGGTGATCCCGGTGCTGCCGCAGGCGGCCATGGTGCTCATCCCCGGCCAGACGCTGCCGCTGCAGCTCTTCAGCCCGCAGGAGGTCAGCATGGTGCGCAGCCTCATCCAGAAGGACCGGACCTTCGCCGTGCTCGCCTACAGGTGGGCTCCGTGGCTGCACACGTGCCGTGAGGCGGCCTGCGTGGGGGGGGGGAGAGGCCTTCGCAGCCAGTGTCGGCGATGGCTGGTGCAAACGAGGGGCTGCTCAGCGCCAGAGGTGTGCGGAGGGAAGGGGCGTTGGCTTAGGGATGGCGTGGGTCACCGTGAGCCCTGGGCGCGCTCGGACGGGAAGCCTGTTCTTTCCTACGGGTGCTCCCGCTGTGCGCGGCCAGCCGCCTCCTGTAGCCCGTTCCCCAGGTGGCAGCCAAGTGGCTTTGCAGCGAGGGCGATTACTGTAAGCTGCCTTTCCGGGTGCATTGATTTCGTCAGTTTTGCGTATTTAAAAATTAAAATTAAATGTTCCAAACTGTCTCCTTCTGAAATCTGCCCGGAAGCAACGTGCAGGAGCGGGAGGCGCATTTCGGGACCACGGCGGAGATCTACGCCTACCGGGAGGAGCAGGAGTTCGGGATCGAGGTGGTGAAGGTGAAGGCGGTCGGAAGACAGAGGTTCAAGGTCCTGGAGCTGAGGACACAGTCGGACGGGTAAGGGCCGCCGCCTCTCACAGAACGACCTGTGTTTCTCATATTTGTTTACTCCACTCGCCTTCCAACTCTCTAACCTGTGACTAGTTCTCTTTCCCTGGAAGCCGTGGCCGGTGGTGCCCACGTTTGCCGTGCATCAGCCACCGGGATGGTTGTGACGCGGCAGCAGCCCGAGTGCCTGGCTCATGCGTCCTGGGAGCCCCTCCCCCAGGTCCCCGGACCCGGAGCTCCCTGAGGTCAGAGCAGCGGGCAGACCCACAGGGCGGTGCACTGGGCATGGCTCTGGATCGAGGGCTCTCAGCAGAGCATGGTGGACTCAGAGGTCATGGGCCTTCTGAGGTTAGGAGTTCTGGGTATTCAGGTTCACCAGTTATCGGCTCAGCTCTCAGGAGGAACTAGCGACCTGTCGGGGGATCAATGCCCCGCCTCCGGGCCCTGCAGAGCGGCCACTGGCCCTGCCCCCGGAGTGCACATACGGGGCCTTGGAAACCTGGCAGAAGCTGCGGGAAGCAGACTCTGGTACCCCCGCGCCCTGCAGGGCCGCAGGAACCCTGGCAGAAGCTGAGCGGAGTGGGCGCTGCCATCTTGTGATGGTGTTAGGCGTGAGGGTTAATTTGCATAGTACCTCTTTATTATATAGGAGGATAGTAAACTCATTTTTAAAACCTAGTCCACCTTAATTTATCCTTTTTTAACACACACACACACATACACACACACACACTAGCATCTGTCCTTATCTCTCAGGCGTGGCCCTGGACTCTGGCACAGGTGGCTCCCCGTCATCCAAGAGATTCTGGATTCTGCCCAGGGCACTCCCTGTGAGACATCATAGCTCAAACACACCGCACTGTCACAGGACGTCGGTCTGTCTGTCTCCCTCGGGGGATGAGCTGCTCCAGGACAATGGCTGAGACTTTGCTTCCTCCCTGAGGCCCAGACCTTCCGCCTGAGCCGGTGGAAGTGTGTCCCGAGGGCCCTGCCCTGAGACACTGAGCGAGCTGCTTGTCACTGATTGCCTAACCGCTCCGTTCTCAGAGTGCTTCCTGGCCGCCTGCGTGTGAAATATTTATTATTAGTGAACACTGTGTTCCAGAAGCTGCAATGGAAACTGACTTGGGGAAGTGTATTTCTGAACCTGTCTTGGTATCGGTGACAAAATTTTGATTGTGGGAAAACCATTTGACCACAAGAGGGCAGCAGACCGTTAACTCTGACAGCAGGTCAAGGCATGTCCATCTGACAGCGTGCAGCCGGGCTGGGCAAGATGTGGTCTCCCCGGTGGTCCCCAGGCCCCCGCTGAGATGCTTGTGGGCGAGGCTGTCGGCAGGGAAGGGCTGACACGGGCACTGCAGGCCCTAAGCCTGGTACCGGGGGGTCTGAACTCTGGGCAGCGCCACGTGTGCTGCTGGACCTGTTGGCTGGCCGGCGCCTCGTCCGGCACCAGCTCGGAGTGCACTGGCTCCGCCCGGTCGCCGAGCCTGCACCCCCAAGCACACGGCTGGCGGCAGAGCCTTCCAGTGGCGGCGTCCCCAGCACTGCCGCTGCCAGGGTCGTCTCAGCCGCGTTGTGGGGATGGTGGCTTTGCTGTCGTGAGAGTTGAAGTAATTAATTGTCAAGTGTGAAAAGATCATGTGTATTTGATCCTTTGCATGCTCAGGTTAAACGTTTGAGGAGAAAGGACGTGCACATGGGAGTTAAGACTGCAAGTCCTTCTCTGGTCTTTCCAGGTCCTCCCGCCCATAGGTCTCCTTTTCTGTTCCTTTCTCTCCCCGCTCCTCCGGGCGGGTGATTGGAGGGAAGGGGAGGGCAGGCGGCCTGGGGAGATGGGGCGACGGGGTGGTAGCTAATAAATTAAGTTATAAGCGTCAGGGTAGGCACTAGCAGTTGGTTACGTGTTGACTTTTTAACTTGGTTTCATTTGTAGGCTGTTTATTGCCCGAAACATAAACACCTTCCTCTCATGCCATCTGAGATTGAAAATCCACTCTTAGGTTACCTTTGGTTTGAACTCGGGTATGATTTATGAAAAATAGAAATGCTCGAAAAACTTTTGTATCTTAACATCAGCATTTGATTGTTTTTTAAAAAAGAAAATTTTGAAAGCCTTAGTGTTTAAAATTAGCCTCATGTTTAGAAGCCTAATGGTTTGAGTCAGTTCACCTGAAAAGTGAGCCCGTGCCTGTCCTCCTCCAGAATCCAGCAGGCGAAGGTGCGGATCCTGCCCGAGTGCGTGCTGCCCTCCACCATGGCCGCCGTGCAGCTCGAGTCCCTCAGCAGGTGCCGGCTGGTGCCGGCCGCGCCCGCCCGGGAGCACCGGCGCTCACCCCAGTGGTGGCAGAGGTACCAGAAGGTGAGGCGCCCCTGCCCGCGCCCGCGTCCTGTGCCTTAGCCGTCTTTCTCGGAGGAAAACGGGGTGGAGCCGGTTTCTGCTCCCCGTCTGTTGTGTCTGTCTCGGGTAGAATAGTGTTTATGCTGTCTGCCACAGGAAGGCTACTAGATTGCAGATCTCGAGTAAATTGACTCTTTGAGATGTAGCTCTTAAAACTCTGGGAAGCTTTCACTGTAACCTAATAAACCCTGCGTTGATCGTCCCTCACTCTCCTCACTCTGTCAGAGTGGAGTGAAGGTTTAATTTTAAGGTAAATCCGTATGATTGGCCACGAAGCATCTCTGGCGGGTCAGTGTGCACCCCACCCTCTTGTTCTTGGGGTTGAACGCACCCCGTTTCAGACAGGACTCTGTTGCAGCTGGTGGGGGGCGTCGGGCTCGTGACTGGTTCCTGAGGACGCATTGATCTTGCGATTCTGCGTCTCAGACCCAGTGTTCTAGAAGGTTCCTGTGGGAAAGTTATCCCTGGGAGGCTCCCAGATCCCCGCAGCTTGAACAGGTTCTGAAGGGTGGGCAGTGCCGCCGCTGCTGCTGTGTGCTCAGGCCCGGCCCAGCCCCTCTGCCCTGGTTGGCTCAGGCGAGCAGGCGATGGCAGGGTCGCTGCTGAAGTTGGTGTGTGGAGCACACCCCCCGACGGGACACGGGCTCCTGGAGGGATGGGGGAACCGAGAGCCTGCTCTCAGCCTTGGGGCCGCGGCTTGTTCCAGTCACAAAGCCGGGGCGGCATGGAGCGGGGCCTGAGCCGGGCCTCGCCTTAATCCGCTCCCGAGCCGCAGTGTGTCTGTGGTGGGATCACTTTACCATGTGACTGTTTTTCTGTTTTCAGAGAAAATTTCATTGTGCAAATCTGACCTCGTGGCCCCGCTGGCTGTATTCCTTGTATGACGCAGTAAGTGACTCACCTTCAGAGAGAGGGCGCGAGATAGAAACATCCGTGATGAGAGAGAATCATGGATCAGCTGCCTCCTGCACGCCCCACACGGGGGATCAAACCCACAGCCCGGGCGTGTGTCCTGTCCGGGAGTGGAACTGGGGCCTCCTGGCTCCTCGGTGGATGCTCAGCACTGAGCCACGCCGGCCGGGCCTTTCCTGGTCCCCATGCCCGATACCTTCAGGGCTAGAATGGAGATGGTTAGGGTTTGAAGGAAGCCTTTGAAGTTTTGTTGGGTCACATGGAGTTACACTTAGAAAAGTAAAGATCCTTTAAGTGTTTTGGACTTTTCTAAACAAACATGTTAACGTCTATCTCCTGGTCCCTAGTTGGTCTCTAGTTGGTGTGCTCACGGTCACATCCACAGTGGCTTTGCTAACTTTCAATGCCCAACATCATCCTCCCTCCCTTTCCCCCCCAATAGAGCAGAGCCCCCCGAGACGGGCTGTCAGAGCAGGTAGAGGAGCCTGGGTTTGTAGACAGACTGTGCAGAGCGTGGTTTCTGTCCCTCTCTCTGCGGTTTGGGGCAAATCACTGGAGTGTCTGTAACGGGGCAGTGTGGCTGCTTCGCTTGGCACCCATCCACACTCCACATGGTCACTGGTTCCTGGGAGTCACCGTGCCCACAAGTCCCACCTGGGGCTCCACAGGAGGTGCTGAGCTCTTAGCACCCGCACAGCCCGAAGGACAGCTCACAACCAACACCCAATGGGCTTGGTGCGCACAGTGCCTGCGGTTCACGGCCTCAGTCCCGGGTGGCGGCAGGAAAGGCTTCCGGGCAGGAGAGGAGGCTGATGCCCCCTGCGCCCAGGGCGGGCGCCTGCCAGGCCCGGAGCCCAGGGCGGCAGCTGCAGGCCCCGTGGGTTTGGGATCAGCTCCCATGAGAAACGGGGGGACACTGGAATGAGGCTTCCCTCGCGAGGACTTCGTTGTGCTGAGCGTCTTCGTGTTCTCGCGCTGAGAAGACAGTGAACTGTGTGTGTCTGAACCTCATTGGGCTCCTCCTGTTTCACAGGAAACGCTAATGGACAGGATCAAGCAGCAGCTGCGGGAATGGGACGAGAACCTGAGAGAGGACTCTCTTCCTTCCAACCCAATAGGTAGGAAACGTTAGTTGAACGAAACCAAAAGTGTTTGTTTTCTTAACTAGTGTTTCTGTTAGCTTTGAGTTTTAAAAAGGAGTGCATTTAGGAAGTGGGGCAGCAAGGTTTAAGTGCGGGGACACCCCGTTTCCAGCAGGGCCTTCCTGAGAAATGCAGGCCGCCCTCCCTGCTCCGTTCACGCCCTGAGGGAGGCGAGCTGGCTCAGTGGAGCCGTTCTGGGCGGGCACACATCCCTGTGCTGCTGGGGCTAGGTAGCTATTGTCCTGTCTCTCAGCAGGTAAACCCTAGCGTGTTAGCCTGTGTAACTGGAACAGTGTGGGGAGCTACGAGGTAACCCCTGGGCAGTGCCTGCCTCAGTGCTGTGATGTGAGAATGTTCTCTGGAAAGGACACGCTTCCCAGGTTGAAAACGTGCAAACCCGCCACGTGTCTAAGATTTCTCTTACAGAGTAGCTGCTTGTCTCCCCATCGACAACGTGCTGAGGATCCAGCTCCTGAAGATCGGAAGCGCCGTGCAGCGGCTGCGCTGCGAGCTGGACATCATGAACAAGGTGAGCACACACCGCGGGAGGCAGCGGGGAGTGGCTCCGGGGTCCCCCGCGGCTCCTGCAGGGGCGCCAGGCCTGCAGTGAGGACCGGAAGGGAACTGTGTGCCTTCCTGGGCGGTGGGCCCCCTCTGTCCGCTCCGTGTGGACGCTGAGGCCGGGAGGCAGTGGCTAGAAGTGCACTCGGACTCCTTGGCGGGTGTCCGGTGGCCTGTGCCATCACATTGCTGTGTGAGGGGCTTTCCCACTAACCTCCTCCTCATCTTCCAGTGTACATCTCTGTGCTGTAAGCAGTGTCAAGAAACAGAAATCACCACCAAAAACGAGATATTCAGGTGAGAGATTTATTACATTTTCAGTGAACAGAGTACATTTCCCAGCTGTCTTCACACGGTTATCATGAAGGCTGTTTTGCTGTCCGTGCACTTGGCCTCTAGTTGCTCAGCAAGTGGACCGTGAGGGCGCGGCCTCTGGCCGTGCTCCCTCCGCCCCAGCGCAGGGACCAAGCAGCACAGGACCGGGCAGCCCTGTGCCGTCTCTGCTGGGCCCAGTTCTAGAGCAGTGGGACCCCGGGGGGTGGGGGGAGACAATTCAAGAATGAGTTAACTGATTTTTCTGCATTTCTTTGGTTCTCTGGGCCTCATGTACAGAATACATGCTGTGACCTATTGTTTCTGTTCTCTGTTGTTTTAAAACCTTACTTGATATTTTTTCAGATAATTTTATATTATTTTTTAACTATTTCTTAGTGATTCCTCATCAACTGCTCTTTTATTTTTCTCTTTCATGGCTGCCACGTGCTTTTGAAGCTCGTTTAGACCAAGTTAATGGCCTTTCAGGCTTCCTCCTCGCGAATAGGGGTTCGCTTTTTGAATAATAATATGTCACAGGGTGGGGAGACAGGATTTTAGAGCTGTTTAGGTGGGCGTGGCCAAAACAAGGCTGGGAAGCACTGGTCTGGAACACAGTAAGGACGTACCAGGCCGCAGGCATCACAGGCCCGCCTGGTAAACACCTGTTTTGCCACATCTGGCCCAGACGAAGCAGGGCAGCTCGGCCTGGGCCAGAGCTGAGGGAGTGTTTGAACCGCTGGTGACAATCCTAACTGCTGTCCGCAGCGGGGCTGAGACCAGCACTGGCCCTGTGGCCAGCGTGGAGCAGTGGGCTGAGCAAACCTGGGCGGCTGCCAGCCTGCTGCTGTGGCTCTGAGGCTCCGCTTTTACATAAACAAAGCGAACAGCTCAGAAGTCTTAGCTCCGTCACCTCGCTCCTTGGTGGGCTTGTCTGAAGTCTGCAGGGATGAGGCCCCCGTGGGTGCTGTGCTGACTGACCCTGTGCCGTCTGTTGCAGCCTGTCCCTGTGCGGGCCCATGGCGGCCTACGTGAACCCCCACGGGTATGTGCACGAGACGCTGACCGTGTACAAGGCCTCCAACCTGAACCTGATAGGCCGGCCGTCCACGCAGCACAGCTGGTTTCCCGGGTAACGTTCTGGGCACTCCTCCTTTTGGCTTTGCCCTCATTGGGCACAAGGATTTCAAAGGAGCATTGGGTTGAATCACAGCCCAAAGCAGACGGTGGAATGAAGGGTTCTCTGCACGCCCCTCACGCCGTGAGGGCTGGCGCCTGGCCAGGGCTGCCCACGCATCGGCTCCCTGACTGGGGGCGGGGGGGGGGGGGGGGTGGCCTGCGGGTGCCCTCGGTTAACTGCACTGCCCGTCCCTGCCACCCTGCCACCGGCAGCCTCCAGCCGGGAGCCTGGGCAGTCCCTCAGCCACGTCCTCTTCGAACCCGAGTATGTCTTTTTCTTTTTCTGGACAAAATGAGCTGAGCAGGAATTAGTGGTTTTACTGCTATAATGGACCTAGAACCATGACAGTCAGCTTAACACCCTTTTTAGTCCAAGGACTAAAGTGAGAATTAATGCGTTAACCCAAATTCTAAGGTTGGGACAAGCCCAGGGCACCAAAGGCCCCGCAGGAACTCTGGGTGTGCAGAGCATCACCAGAGCTCCGTGCTCTTGATGCTGAGAACAGGGCCCTGGGGCAATGCTCCCAGCAGGGCCACTCCATAAGCTGGAGGCAGAGATGGCCACTCGGCTCACCTTCCCTTTGCTTTTCCTGCCACAGGTTTGCCTGGACGGTCGCCCAGTGCAGGGTCTGTGCCAGCCACATCGGGTGGAAATTCACAGCCACCAAAAAGGACATGTTACCTCAGAAATTTTGGGGTTTGACTCGCTCTGCTCTGCTGCCCACGATCCCGGACACTGAGGACGAGCTGAGCCCCGAGAAAGTAGTGCTCTGCCTGTAGACGGCAGGGCCCGCGCTTCACCAGCTGTGGGCCCGGCAGCTCCACCTCGGATGCCTGCTGCTGCGTGACCCGCGGGGCGGCCCGGGAAGGGGCAGCCTCTCAGCCACAGGGCTTTGGGGGCGTGGCCTCAACTGCCCTGTGGGCGAGAAGAGCCCAGGACCCTGGCTCTCGGAAACGCCCACCTCCATTGCAGACTGCTTCCCGCACGGAGCACGGACGCCGATGGAGGGCGACATGAGGGCGTGCGGAGCCACGTGTCCGTGCCCGAGGCCACGCCCAGCACCCGGGCCCACGGGAAGGGGGGAGGCGGCGGGCAGGGCTGTGGAGCCCATTACTGGCCTCTGTTCCTCTCAGCGTCTGGCTTCCCGGAGCCCCCCTGGTTTGTAAATATTAGAGTTGAGAGAGGCAGGTTGAGCCCCAAAGAACCGTTTCCATTTTCTTACGTTTGTTAGTAAAAACGCAGGATGGCGTGCGTTCGCTCAGTGTCTGGGACACTGCTGGTTCTGCCCCAAGTGCGATCGGAACCTAGACCACTAAGGAGCGGACGCTCAAGTGTCCCTCCGGGAGGCCGAAGCAGGACGCCGTCTCCTTAGGCTGTATTGTTCAGGGCCAACTGAAAAAACCCTGTAAGTAAATTTTAAGAGCAAAACTCAAACACGTTCTTTGTCTAAGTCACATGAACCGCCTACGCCAGCAGATGGCGTAGGTGTGGGAAGTAACTTGGAGACGAAGTTCTCTCTACGCTGGTTCGCACCTACCTCTCTGCTTCTACACTGAGGGTCACTGGGTGTCTTCAGGTGTGTGAGCCACTTCACCTAATTCACCGGGGAAAGTTCAACTAAGGGGTAAAACGTGAGGCCCAAACCGACTGTCTTCTACCAGACATGCACCCGTGTCGACTGCCTCGCCCACAAACACCACTGACCACCATGCACGTGCCACCTCGTTCCAAACGCCACACTGCCCCATGCTTTCCTGTGGCACCGATGCCTGCCGGGCCGGTGTCTGCCGGTTGCTCTGCACAGCCATGCTGAGGCTAACCCAGCGAGGCCGGATGCAGCCGGGACATTTGCCCCTGAAAGTGTCACCTCTGAATGTTCCATCTTGCTCACTGACACTTGCAAATAAAACGCTAATAAGTGAACACTTGCCATTTATACTACTTCAAAGAGTGTTACACACGACGAGCCCGGACCTGAAACCGCGAAGCCTGCACTCCCCCAGGATGCAGGGACGCCGTCAGGTGGGTCCCGCCCGGGCAGTGGGTCCTGGCGTTTCAGAGTCCTTCCCTGCACCTGCACTCAGGGCCCTGGTCTGGCTCCCTCCCGCAGAAGCCCCAGTACACGGAGGGTTCCGCACCTCCTCCTAGCGGCTACCACAGAAATGGGCTATTGTACAAAGATGCTCGAGTGGCTGCACGGGAAGGAGAGCCAATTACGAAAGGTCAGGGCACAGCTGCGGCCGCACAGGCTGAGACGGCCAGGCCAACCAGCCTCTTCGCAGTGGGAACCAGTCCAGAAGGCTAGCTCAGGGCTGTCGGCACCGGTGACACCCCTGTGCAGAGTGGCACGTGGTCTGTGCTCCCGAGGGGAGCAGCCCTCACCCGGTGCCCGACGTACAGCGACTCCCAGAGGGTGAAGGCTTTATTCTCGGGAGACCCTCGGCCGCCCTCACGCCGCCGCCGAGTCTCTCGAGCCTCCGCAGGGCGGAGGGGCGGGCGGCGGCTCCCGGGACTCAGCTCTTCTTGACGCGGCTCAGCAGCTCGTCCTTCTCCATCCGGTAGCCGCTCTTCTTCCACTGGTCCCGCAGCTGCTGCAGCAGCGCCCCGATCTCCTTCCCGGAGGAGACGCCCGCCTTCCGCAGGTCGTGGCCGCTGACGGGGAACGCGGGCGCGGACCACCGCTGCAGCTCCCGCAGGAGGCCGGGCTGGCCCTGGTACTTGAGCAGCTCCCAGACGCGGGCGGCGGCGTCGGGCTCCCTGGACTGAGGGCCGACAGCAGACAGGGCCACACACGTTAGAGAGCGCGCTAACGGCCCTCGCCTACAGTTACACACGTGCTCAGCGTGAAATTCAGTTAAAATACATGACGTCCACAGAAGACACTGTGGGGCCTTCGTGTTAATAAGTTAGCTTTACCCGCCCTGCGTGGCTTAGTGGTTGAGCGTTGACCTATGAACCAGAAGGTCACGGTTCAATTCCTGGTCAGGGCACATGCCCAGTGTGGGGGCGTGCAGGAGGCAGCCAATCAATGATTCTCATCACTGATCTCCCTCTTGGAAATCAATAAAAATATATTTTTTAAAAAGTTAGCTTTACTATTAGGACGGACCGCACTGACCACGACTGGCATGTACCGTATTTTTCGGACCATAAGACGCACTTTTTTTCCTCCAGAAGTGGGGGGGAAAAGTCCCTGCGTCTTATGGTCCAAATATAGCCTACACATATACTTTAAAAAAAAGTTTTTTTACTTGCCCGGCTCTGTGTGGTCTCTGTGTGCTTGCCCTGCTCTAAAATGGTTCTAAAAATGCTGCTGTTTACTTTACAGGGTTGATTACATGTGTTTATGACTGTGATGTTGGGTTTTAATGCACATAAAATATTTTAGGACACTATTTGTTTCAGAATCTTTTTTTCTTCATTCCCCTTCTCTAAAAACTGGTGCGTCTTATGGTCCGAAAAATACGGTACTTACGTCTATAATGAAGTCCTGATAGGGTTTCAGTGGTTCGGAACTATCCGAGGCTTTAGTTAAGTCATTCCTGTATTTAACTAGAAACAAACCAAGGTTTTTCTCTTCTTTTGAAATCTTCAACCTCAAATCCAATTTTGTGACATCATCCTGTACTTTGAATAACGAGGCCAAGAGTGTCATTGGCTTTGGTGAAAATCCTTCAACATTTTTACTGACTTTGTCGAATTCTCCCAAACTTGCATTCGCAGGTAAACCTGTCGGGATAGGAGCCTTTTTCACTCGTCTGTATAGCAGTGACAGTTGGTGAGCACGCACCCCCCACACGCTACACCAGCCGCTGCTTTGCTAGGCAAAAAGCCTGAGGCCAGGACTCGGTGCTGGCCCACTCTGGTGCCCTCTATCCACAGGGACTAGTGATGGCTGCTGGCCTCACCCCTCGCCCTGCACACGAGGGTGGCTGTAAAGCATTGTGTCCATTAACTGGCTGAACAGGAGGCAGAGATGGCCATCAGACCCAGGGACACGATCCAATGCAAACTCCTGGCCACTCACTGACGTGCGGCCACAGAGCACCCGCTCCTTCAGCCCTGGCGGGGCCAGCTAGTTGGACCATCATCCGTGCACCCAAAGGACACGAGTTCAATTCCTACTCGGCATGTACCGGAGACAACAGACCAGTGTTTCTCTCAAAAAACCGTAGAAACACATCACTTGAGGATTTAATAAAAGAGCATCCATCTGCTCCAACAACTGTCTGTATTCAAACTATCCCCAAGTTTCCCCACACAAGATGCACAGATGACCCTGTTCTGAGTGTAAATTATAACAGCTCCTGAACAGCTTCTATGCCTGCCACTCTTCTGAGCGCCTTGCCTGTGGTAACTCACCCAATCAGCCGATTGGAAAGAGGCTGTTACTTTCATTCCCAGGTTTAGATTCAGAAACTAAGAGGCGAGGAACCAACCCACGTCACAGAGCCAACAAGCGGCAAAGGCTCATTCCAACCCGGTCTGCCACGGGTCACTGCACCGCCAGCCTACGCCGAGTCCGAGCCGTCTGTCCCCACCTGTGACAAGACTGTCCCACCCCGTCCTCCACGTTTATGTTGAAATATTCCCCTTGTCCTTTGCGGATTCTTCATCTGAACTGAACACCTTCCCCACGGGGTGCTAAGCCGGGCGCTTCACCCCCGTAAGTGCGGGGCGTGCGGCCCGGCCTCACCTATGTAGGGAGCCACGTCGAGGTCGTAGATGAGATGAACCAAATGACTGACGTGATTTCCAACCAGAATTTTCTTCAGCTCCACCCAAATCCTCTCTCCTGAAATTCCGCCCAGGCCTTTGGCGTTTTCCGCAATTGCTTCCAAAGTCTCAGGATCGTGGTCACCAGGTGCGTCTACAATTCTCCCGTAAAACCTACAAAACAGAGTTCTCAGAGTGGATCCGTTTCCAACCTCCTGGGACCTTCCCCACCAGCCAATCACAAGCACACAATTCGGCAGGGCTGGCAGGGGACTGAAATCCTATAGACTGTCTGCCTTCTCTTTTTCTACACGAGAAACCTGAAAGCCAGTAAAACACAAGTAACTTAGTTGGCAAGAGCCAGGCCGCCACCTCGCTCACTTGCACGTCGCCTCGGGAGTTGGGAGGGGCACCCAGCACAGAGTGAAAAGGGCCTCCTGGTCCAGGTGCCCAAACGAGGTGCCTGCCTGCCACATCGGACTGAAGGACATCTCTGATGGGATCTGCCTGACCCTGGCGCTGTGCTTCAGCACCTCAGCCCTGACCTCAATCCACCCGTCCACTCATCCTTGGCTCCGCCTCCCCTGGAGAACCACATGGGATGTCACCGCTTTGTGCACTGACTACTGTGCCTGTCACAGAGTCAGAACTGTATTCTGGTAATAACTATCATTCATTTGAAAAATCCTTACCTGAAATACCTTAAAATTCTAAGGTAATCTTCTTGTATCCTCTTTTTAGCATGTCCAACAAATCTCACTTTCTTATTTTTTAAATCTTCATAACCATTAAAGTAGTCATATAAAGTACCATCGAAGCCTGTTCATTGGGAAAGGGGAGAAAAATGACAAATGGGAACTGGAAAGCCAGGTGGTAGATGTACAAATGGAATATTACGCGGCCGTGAAAAAGAACAAAACCTGCCACCAGGGATGTGGGGGCCCCGTGGGCCCCGGGCTGAGGGAGCAGGTCAGACAGAAGCTGACGGCAGAGCCCTTGCTTCACAGCTGGCGAGCGGTGGCGAACGCAGCCACCGTGCCCGCCTCTGAGGCAGCCTGGCGGGCACGGGCGCGGGCGCGGGCTGCAGAGCGGGCCAGGAACCAGGGCTCCCGAGGCGGCACGCAAGGACCGCGGTGCACACCCACCCCCACGTTACCCAGGAACATGGAGTTGACAGTGAGGTCTCGGCGCTCGGCGTCTCTCTGCCAGTCAGTCGTGAATTCTACCTCCGCGTGTCTTCCGTCCGTGACCACGTCAATCCGCAGTGTGGTGATCTCAAAATTCTCGTTATGCAGCTGCAATTACATGGTTTTTAAAAACTCGGTGTTAGAGTCACTGCATGGGCTGAAAGCAAGGTCACCCTGACGTGAGGCAGCTCTTTCTCTTCAGAGGCAGCGGATGCACACGCACCTCCACCCAGAGGCACCCACAGTATTCCCAGACGGATCCAAAGGACATTTTCCTAAAAGATGAGTCTGATACGAAAATGGCCACCGGGACAACTGATGTGACAGAGAGGAGAAGCCTTCCACTTCTTCAATTTCACACCAGGCTGCTCTCTGAAACCCTTTCTGACGGATCCAGTGTGCAGAGAGCTGAGTGTCAGTTTATAGAATGTTAACCGCTGAGCGAAGAGCTGACAGAGAGAGAAACGGGGAGCACAGCAGGCAGCTCCTGCTCCCCTAACCACCAAGGAGGTTACTGTGAGGCCTCGTCCACCTCGGCTGGAGGGACCGCCTGCAGCGGTGAAAGTCGAGGAGCTGTGACAGCGGCCGGAGCTGAGCCCTGGGAACTCAGCAGGACCTGTGCACAGACGTGAGGAGGTGGCTACAGAGCAGTGAGGAGGGGCGGACAGGGAGTGCACCTGCCACAGAGCAGACACAGCAGGGGGAGCAGCAGGGAGCACGCACGGGGCCGGGGAGCAGCGCAGGGTCTGACATGCACACGGGCATCTGGAATCTCACACAGGACCTGGAAGCCAAGCCATGTCTGTTCTAGAATTCCTCCAGCCACACACACACTGATTCTCACTCAGAGTTCCAGAACTCAGGAGGCGGAGGCACAGGGCAGCAGTGGCACAGGGCAGCGGTAAGAAAAGGGTGTGAATGTGAAGGCTGTGTGAGAACCGTCATGAACACAGGACTCCCAGGATGCGTCCCCCAAGAAGCAGGGAGCCCCCGGAAAGCCCCATTTAAGGACACACA